GTGAAGAAGAAAGACTCCTCTCTCCAATTATGTATAGATTATGGTCGCCTTAATTTTATGACAAAGCGTGACTCCTTTCCACTTCCACGGATTGATGCTACGTTAGACTCTATGAAAAGTGAGTGTTGGTTCTCGACATTAGACCTAGCATCCGGGCACTGGCACGTGGTAATACGACCCCAGGACAGAAAGAAGACAACATTCGTCGTACCAAATCGACTTTATGAATTTCAAGTGATGTCTTTCGGGCTAACTAATGCCCCAGCCACCTTCCAACGATTGATGCAGACGGTTCTACATGGCCTCGTACCGCACAATTGCTTAATTTACCATGATGATATTATTGTGTATAGCAGCAAGCCGGAACAGCATAATGCCGATTTGAGGGCAGTCTTACAACGTATTAAGCAGCACAACTTAAAAGTGAAACCATCCAAATGTCGATTCTTGCAAAATGAGGTGCTATCTTTGGGACATTGCATTACGGAGTAGCAAAAGATGAGGAAAAAATAAGCACCATTATTAACTGGCCACAACCGAAATCTGCTGAGGATGTTCGCAGCTTCCATGGGGCTGACTTCCTACCACAGACGTTGTGTACGCGATTTCACATCCCTGGCAACACATATACATCACCTGACGCATAAAAGACGAAATTTTTGTGGACCACAGAATGTCAGCAGGCATTTAGCACTTTGAAGTCATGTCTTGCTGCTCCACCAATAATGGCTTTTCCGGACGCTTCGGCTAAAGCGGGTGAGTTTATACTTTATACAGATGCTAGCTCGTCAGCTATTGGAGCAGCCTTGTCTCAAATAGCACAAGATGGACAGGAGCGGTTCATAGCGTACGCTATTCGGCGGTTAGATAAGAAAGGGACAAGGTATTCTACGACGCGCCGACAGATGCTGGATTTAGTAAAATTTTTGCAACATTTTCGTCACTACCTTCTGGGACGCTACTTTCGTGTACGCACAGACCACCGTGCACTGCAATGGCTTCGTTCGTCCCGTGAACCAGAAAGTCAGGTAGCACGCTGGCAAGAAAGATTACAGGAGTTCGATTTTAGTTGCGAATACCGACCCGGAAGCCAACACACAAACGCCGATTGTCTGTCTCGTATACCTTATTCCCCTAATACCATTAGTGCTGTCCTTAGCACAGCGCCCGAGATCTACTGGCCGTCTCTTCAAGCAGCAGACTTTGATCTGCGATTCATTTACCAAAGGCAACTACATGGAAATGGTAAACCATCTATGGCAGAGTTGAAGGATCATTCCTCGGCTACCCGCCGTCTTTGTGCCAAGTGGAGTAGTCTGAGATTGTACGGAGACACGTTATTTATAGTCAATGAATCAAAACGGCCACTGTTGATAGTACCACGTGTACAAGTTCAGGATGTTATGGAGCAGGTGCACCGAGAACTTGAGCACTCAGGAAAATGGAAGACTGAACATGCGACCTGCCAGAAGTTTTGGTGACCACCTATCCATGAAGACGTATCAGAATTCTGCAAAATTTGTTGCATGTGCTATGCCATTAAGTCACCCTGACAGATACCCCGTTCACCCTTAATTCCAATGTCGACAGAAGGTCCCCATCAGCGAGTTGGTATCGATATTATGTGGCCACTCACAACGTCAAGGAACGGAAACCGCTATATACTAGTTACGGTAAATTATTTTGGCAAATGCTATTAAGCCTTTCTATATCACAACAAGATGCTCTCACAGTCACTCCGACTTTTATTGATCATTTGATATCCCGGTAAGGCGCCCCATTCTTACTCCATTCTGACCAAGGTGCAGCTTTTGAAAGCCATTTCGTCGCCCATGTATGCCGATTATTGGGAATCCGCAGAACGCACACTACCGCACTCCACCCGGAAGGTGACGGCTTAGTGGAAAGAACAAACAGGACCATCGAAACCCTCCTACAATCGTTTATCAGTAAGTCGTCGACGGAATGTTGGGATGATGCTTACTGCGCATCAGTGCACGGGATTTTCACCCGCGACCCTGCTCTTTGGACGTGAATTGCGCCTACCTGTTGAGTTACAGATACCATTGTTGCCATGAAAGGCTCAGGATCATATATTGTACATCCGTAACCTTCGCAGCCGTCTAGCCGACGCATATCGCCTAGTTAAGATCAACCTAAAAATGATAGCGAACACCAAAAGGATGTGTACGACCGCAGGGAGAACGGGCCTATGTATGAACCCGGAGATCGTGTTTAGCTGTACCGCCCTTTGGACCCACCAGGGACATACAGCAAGTTCCATCAACCTTAGCAAGGACCTTATGAAGTTGTGTTTACGCGGCCTCCCACTACATTTGCCCCACGTAACCCCCAATGGCCCCAAGACGATGTTAAAACAGCACACTACAACTAACTGAAGCCAGACAGAACAACGGTGAACTTAGATACCCTGTTTATCACCCCCGACTGCCGTCAGCCATTATGAAGTGCCACCAGAAGGAGGGGTAGCATACACATGCTTAGCACCAGGCACTGAGGACAATGCCTCAGAGAGAGAGAGAGGGGGTAGTGTAACGGTATTAAAAATCATCACACGTGACGTTACTAATGCGGGTTTGTTTTCCTTGTTGCAGGGAAACAAAGAGTAAACGTACTAGAAGAGGAACAAGCTTTACGCAAACTGAACCTGCAGAACAATCAATAAACCCATTCTGTAATAAGCTTCCCTTTTTGTACTCCAACCGCGTCTTTCAATTTTAAATATATTTCTGTTGTGCCAGTACGCCGTCTTCTTACTTCAGTGGCATTTACCGGTCCTGACTGTTGTGTTGTGTTTCAGATCGCTCCTGCTTGCAAGTAAACGCTGATAGTACGTGCTACAACAGACATATCTCACGAAAATATACTTTAGATTTGGGTCATTTTTCTGTTTACATACTTACATAACGTCCTTAGCATGAGTGTACTACGAAAATAACTATCAACCACAGAAGTCATACTACCTTATGTACTCCTTTCAAACAAGCCTAGAAATTGTCCCAACTTGCAAATCGTCGCGATAACATAATATCACCGAAGATTTGTTCTATATCATGCATCATCACGACGGCATCGTTTTCGTTACTTGAAGGATGGACGTTGTCAGACATAGTGTGGCTGAACTGAATTCAAATCTAAAAGTGTCTTGATTGGACCGCTTCTGCAAAACTTCACGAATTATCGATGTGGCGCACTAATCATCTAACGACAGTTTGACCTTCAGCGCGCTCTATTTAAAAGGACAGTGGTATTCTTTCTCGTTGAGTTAATTAACTGTTTTGATCGTAAATTACGCATCAAAACTACTGTTTACACTTTAATTGCATCTACCCCAGTTAAAGTGATATTTTATTGAGTTTTTCGATTTTGCTTCTGTGTATTTATTGCATCGAAGCATACTTGGTCGACTTTTACTTTGTTTATTTAGTTAAGGTTTGAAAATCCTTTTACATATCCTGTTTTTGTCACCGTTCTAGTTGATTTTCAAGATGGCTAGGTCTACTCATAAATGTGGACAACCATACTGCTTATTTCCCGTGGATGGAGGGATGCAATGTGATGAGTGTAATAAGTGGTTCCATAAGATGTGCACCCGATTAAGCCCCACTGCATATAAAAGGTGCCCAAAGCCCAACTCTCATTGGCTTTGTAGTTTTTGTTGCTCGAGCAAAACATTGCTTATCCAGGAAGCAATTCGTCTCCTGGTGTTGGCTAATAAGAAGGTTGATGAGGGCTGTACTGATAACATTGGTACGGATGGCGAAGATTGCGTTAGTGTCGTAAGTGCTATCACGGCGCAAGCTAGACATCTACCTGTGCAACCCGCAGTTAAACGTTCTCCCTCGAAACGATCAGTGAGTGACACGTCATTAGACGTTGGTGGCCATATTGCTACAGCAGCAACCGGTGACCCAGATAAAACAATTACTGTCCCGAGTTGTTCTAATGTAGACGTTTCGACTGATGGAAAATGGATGACGCGAAAACGCAGAAGAGTAGGAAAGATAGCTAAAACTAATGACTGTTTACTTGGTAAGTCCTTGGTGGACTCTCAGACCAATCCGCCAAAGTCTCATAGTAAAGCTTCGTCTGACATTGTTGTTAGTCATTCGCTTGACTCCCAGGACTCTGTTAAAATAAAAACTAATCGTAAGCTACCAGTAGTTAAAATACAGGATCTAACGTCACGGTCGAAAGCTGTGAACACAGTTTCAAAAGAAGCTAAACCCATCCCTAGTTTAATTATTTGGAATCTAGAGGAGTCGAAAGACAACGACCCTGCTAAAAGACACGCACATGACCTGCAGTTAGTGGAGTCTGTGGTGAGGAATGTACTACCTGAAGAGGTTTCAGGGGTACATATTACAAAAGTAATACGACTTGGTAAATGGGTTGGAGGCGAGACCCAACCAAGAAGGATCCTGAAGCTGGTTCTCGGGAGTTTCGAAGAAAGAGACATATTATTGAAAAGCGCACTAAAAACTCGTGCCTCAAATATCCGTATTCGACCAGATTGGCCGCTTGAGGATCGAATCAAGTGGAAGAATGCTCTTACGGAGTTGAGGACTCGCAAATTAAATGGCGAAAATAACCTTACCATTAAGGGTTTTCGGGTAGTCAGGTCTTGGAAGCCAATGCTTCCGAGGCCTGTATGGGTAGAACGATTGATCTCCAAAACACCTTAAGTGTGTGCTACACGAACGCTCGTAGTCTTAGAAATAAAACGTCCGAGCTAAGTCTGATGGTGCAAGAATTATGTCCTGATATAATCGTTGTTACAGAAACTTGGTTCACCGTTGATATAGACTGTTCTCCTTTCATTGCTGGTTATATCTGTATCAGAAGTGATAGAGTTTCAAGTCGCAAGGGGGGAGGTATAATATTTTACGTTAGGGATCACTTTCGTATACAATCAACCATATCGGAGGCTCATATCAGTGGCACATGTGAGGTTGCATGTTGTAAGATTAAATCTAGAAATGGGTTAGTGACTATAGGGGGAATATACCGTAGTCCGTCTTGTCTGGCTGACGACTTTATCCTAAGACACATCTGTTCTTGGAGTATGGCAGAATGTCTCATCATTGGGGACTTCAACGCACCGCATATCAACTGGATAGAGCTTACAGCTCCAGGTAGTGGTTTCGATAGCGACCTTTTATCTACCGTTATTCAGTGTGCACTTGTACAATGTATCACAAAACCGACACATATTGATTTGCAACATGTTCCGTCACTGCTGGACCTCGCCCTCACCCACCACTGTGAGGATGTCTTTGATATCCAGCACCTCCCCCCACTAGTGAACAGTGATCACGTTGTAATTCACTTTAAGTTTAGGACGCATGGTATACAATTCGTATCTGCTCCACCCCGTCCCAATATCTGGCGAGCTAATATTCCGGAAATCAGAAACCGTGCTATCTTGACCGATTGGTCGGTCGACGCGGATGGATTGATCGAAGATGAATGGAATAAGTTTAAGGCTACATTCGAGTCCGTAACGTCGCCGTTTATCCCATGGTCAGCACGTAAGCTATCACATTGCCCTCCATGGATTAATAAGGAAACCCGGAAGCTGTTAAAGCGTAGGAAACATTTCTGGGACTTATTCTTGTTGACAGGTCATGCACCATTTAAGCGTGAGTATCAAAAATACCGTAATATCTGTAAGAAAACCATAGCGAAATCCCGTACCACTTACGAACGACAGTTAGTATATGATAGCCGTACTTGTCCGAAGCGATTGTTTTCGTATGTTAAACGGCAAATGAAACGTAGTGATGGTATTCCCCCGTTGCTGTTACACGAAAATTCAGAATTACTAGCTGAATCAGATCGAGCAAAAGCTGAGACTTTCAGATTATTTTAGCGAAGTCTTCTCTACGTTTATTGTAACAAATACTTGTCCCACTCACACCGAGATACCAACCATTGAATCTGTACAGGTGACTGAGGAAACTGTCCTTCCGTTGATAACTAACCTCAAACCTAGTAAGATACCGGGCCCTGACGGGTTACATCCACGGTTGCTATCATCTCTTGCGGACATTATTTCAAAACCGCTTGCGACACTCTTCAACATGTCCCTCTCACTCGCTCAACTCCCTAGAGATTGGAAGGACGCTATAGTTAGTCCTATATTTAAGGACGGTCAGCGACAGATAGTATCTAACTACCGGCCTCTCAGTCTAACTAGCATAGTCGTTAAGTTACTCGAAAAGATAATTCGGGTTAGGTTGCTAAGCCACATAGATTCACACAATCTGTTAGCTCCTGAGCAACACGGATTTCGTAACAAGCGTTCTTGCTTGACTAACTTGCTTATTGCGAGGGAGGATTGGACAGCAGCCCTAGATCACGGTCTGTCTGTCGACGTGATATTCATAGATTTTAGCAAAGCGTTTGACAAGGTTTCACACGTAGGTCTTATGCAGAAGCTCACGAGCTTCGGAATAATAGGTACTGTACATGAGTGGATAGGAAATTTCTTATGTGACCGCAGACAGAGAGTTAGGGTCAATGGAACGCTATCCGATTGGAAGCCGGTCAAAAGTGGTGTACCCCAAGGCACCATCTTAGGCCCTCTGCTCTTCCTTCTCTACGTTAATGAGTTACCACTGTTACTTAGGTCGTCGACATTATTGTTTGCAGATGATGTAAAAATCTGGAGAACAATAAAAAGTGCGGCTGATCATGTGGATCTTCAAGCTGACTTAGACGATTTAGTTAGATGGGCTCGAGAGTGGGGCTTAGAAATCAATGCTAGGAAGAGTGTACTAATGCACGTCGGTCACGGTAATAGTTACCGTTACACTATTGAGGGTAAACCTCTTCCATGCGTTCAAGAGCATAAGGACTTAGGAGTAATATTAAGTCATGACTTAAAAACAACTGCGCATTGCAAAGCAGCCGCTGTCAAAGGTTTTCGTGCGTTATGGTCACTTCGCCGAGCGTTCAAATCTTTTGACGAGGAAACGTTTCGAATTTTATATCCCATATATGTTAGACCACATTTAGAGTACTGTATCCAAGCAGCTAGCCCGTGTCTAGTAAAGGATACTAACTCCCTTGAGCGTGTCCAGCGTGTGGGAACGAAATTAGTGAAGGGTCTTTCTAGACTCCCTTACGATGAGCGCTTAAAACGCCTAAATCTTTTCCCCTTATCGTATCGTAGGACACGAGGTGACCTTATACTGGCATTTCGTATCTTTAATTATGATTTGGGTGTTAATATGTCTTATCTTTTTGCTCCCTCCAGCACTAATAATCTCCGAGGTCATAGCAAGAAGGTTCATAAACCACGATCTAATAAACTTAAAGTGGGGTTCCGTTTTTCTCATCGAGTAGTCAATCATTGGAACGCCTTACCCGAACAAGTGGTATCAGCCCCATCAGTGAATACTTTCAAGGAAAAGCTGGACCTTCACTGGAAAGCAATGTGTCAGGATTAACACAGGTTCATCAACCTACTATCCTTATTACTGAAGACTGAAGGTGCTCGCGACCTCCATCAGTAGACGATACCCCTGAAGCGTTTCCGAAGTTCAGTACACACAGGGCTTGCTCTACTTCTTCCTCGAAAGCTTATATCCTTGGTCATATTTCAATAGAAAGAAAACAGAATCCATTGACATCACACATGGTGATTTCAACCCCTCCTGATGGTGCCTCATAAAACCTAGTGGCAGGAGGTGGATCGGCGAACCGAGTATCAGAGGGAACTGTCACCCGATCTGGTTTTATTCGGTTGTAGTGCACAGTTATCACGTCATCCTGAGGTCGTCGTAAGTTGCGTAATGCAAACGTAGTGGAGGATCGCATCTGGCTGCGCCCCCCCCATGACATCGATTGGGAGTTGAATTAAATTCCATCAGCTCTGGCAAGGCCCTTTCTAAATTTTCCTCGTTCGATCCCCGACTATTTTGTAACCCAGCCATTCCTTTTGTACATGGACCGCGAATTTTAATTTTCAAATAAAACTCGGCTTCAATTCCGTGTTCTCTCTTGGCGTGAAGTTCTCGGTTAACATTGTGTGTTGTGGTTTCAGGTCTTCTTCGCCTTTCAGTGACTGCTGATTACACGTATTACAACTGCCTGTGGATTTTTTGACCGGCGCAGGTGTTCATATTTTTTCCACATGCTCTTAAATACTGCTCCCCACACTCCTTCAGCACTCAAGGTACCTTCAAGATGAACGCAAACATACATAGGGTGGACTTTACACAAAGAATATATCAATTTATCTTTATTATTTGTCCCCACACAACCAGCTGGAACTAGCTATTTTATCGTAGATCATATTTTGAACACAAATTTAGTGTTTCTAATCAATGTTTCAGTTCCAAATGACGCTTACTCATTCCAGTATATCCGGTCAACATCCCCACGGGCCTACTGTTAGCTTTAGGCCAGTACTTTTATCAAGCTAATGTTAATAAACCCCTGTACAGTATCCATCGCAGTGATTTAAGTACAACAAGTAGGTGCTTGCATTTTGTGAGTCCTGGTTACTATTTTTTAAGTTTCCTTCCTGAGAATATGACGCCACTACTTCTGGCGAGTCCCAGTCGTTGATCACTACGCAGAAATTGCGAGGTTCTAACTTGGATTTTGTGTGATATCCCACAGGTGATCAGTCCTATCGAATACTATAAGATAATAGAATTTGACAGTCAGCTCATGATACTATACCAATAGCTATAGTATAAAAACTGGAATGTTTACTGTATGTTGGTCACTACATTAAGGAAATGGAACAGTCAAGTTACGTGTTTGTGGTTAGTTTTATGTGTGTTGACCTCATTATCGAATAATCGTTTATATACCATACGATAAATCTAAAACATACTCTCCTGTAGCCTTGAAATTTTTACCTGTTTTAACCAAGGAGTTGGGAGAGAATGTGAATAAATAAACTATTATAAGAAATCGAAAAAACTAACATGGAATTTACTGTCTTCACATGACCTATAAACATTTTTACGTTGGTTATTGGCCGTTAAATTTTACGGTCAGGATCGGTGTTCGAGCTGTTATTTAGGGTTTATGTTTATCATGACCCATAAACTTTAATCATACACACAACTAGTCTTTAGTCTCAGTTAGTTTTGCAATTGATCTATATTTTAACTTTTAAATCGTAACCATAGGCTCTCTTCATATCATAAATATTAATTAACGCCGAATTTTAGTCCTAAAATCTCCTATCTAACTCTGAATCCTAGTTCAAGTCATAATTTACAGTATCTAATAATGCTTCCACTAAAATTCACCATGATGCGCTTGATACTCAATATCTTGGTTTGACTTTGGATAAGCTCCAAGTCAGATGAATATACGTTCCATGACTTTAAATTAGCGTTTTTGGTTCCTGACGTATTTGGTATTATACTTAAGGTTTACATAGATGAGTTACAGTATACTAACAGTATTGTCTGAGCCTTAAGAATTGGTCAGAACTTTTTGTCTGCAGCTGTAATACAATATTTTGTGCTCACTAAATGTTCCCCATAAAACTCACTTGTAACATGTTTATTCGGTAGTGAAAGTGTTGAGATTACGATGATATCCTATCGGGATTCGGTTTAAGTCCCAGTAGGTATCATCACTACATTAAGTATCCAAAGGGGAACGTATAGTGGAGTAGACCCTTTGTGTGGTTTAAGTCTTTGAAGTTGTTCAGTATTAACCACTTAGATCCTTTGACTATTGGGATACAAAGCCAGCGATTTCGTAATACTTATCGGTAACGGGGTGTGAAAGATGACGTGTGCTTATTCGATACTAGCCGGTTAACGTAGAAGCTTGTTACTGAGTATCAGTTCGAGTTTCCAAACCTTACTTTAGTATGTCAGGAAGGAAATTTTCAAAAAGATGTTTCAAATTAAACCTCGTTGTAAACATAACATTAAAGCAATTTTTAAAGTAATTATAATCTAAGTATTGATTAGTAGAATATGAAAGTCTAAATCACACACATTTGGCTTAGTTCGAACTTTTCATAGTATTAGAGATACGTAGGATGTACTTATAAAGTTAAATCTAGCTGTTGACAAAAAATAAATAAAGTCCCATGAAATACAGTTATTTATGGTTGGAAGTCTAAAATTATAAGTTGGTATGGAATTATCACTCAGTACTGTAGAGTACTATTGCAACTAATAAACTTTCTATCAAATCACTAAATAATGACCGATCAATTCTGCTAAATTATATGGGCTTTACTCTGCTTCAGATCAAGGACTGTATTTCGTCAACATTTTCTTATGTTTTTCTGTATTGGGTTGTGGAGGTTGTTGAACTTCATCCAAATCATGAACCGATCTAAGTTGAACAACTGTTGAATGCCGGCTAATTGGTCTGGAGATTAGACGTTCGCGTTCAAAACTGGGAGTTCTGGATTGAGGCTCCGCGTGCAGGATCGTGAATATGGACTTCCGAAGAGTCCTATACTATGACGAATTGGCTGTCCAGTGCTTTCAGATTTTCAATGTCCTAACTTAGATCGGTTCATCGTTTCATTGAAATTTCCGTTGTTTGCTGTATGAAATTCTAGATACGTGATTTGCGAGAATGAGATCTCCTAAAGTGTCGTTAGGTTTGGTGGAAAGGTCCCGCCGGATGTAGCATTTGCTTATGCAAAGCACTGTCATTCTTGTACTCTACAATAATGTTAGAAATGGGACCTAATCTGCAAACATCCAATATCGTTCTAAGTTTCTAATTTTTCCCTCACGAAAATGCGTTTTCTGCTGTTGTCAATTCTCGATATACATACTTTTTGGTCTCTTAACTAGCTAATCCTTTCTGCAAACCCATTCATTCTCTCAATTATCGGCTTATTTGTGTGCACTGGAAATCGTATATATGAACAGAACTATCATTACTCAAACCTCTCTTAAATTTAGAAAATATGGTTAGTTGGGGATTCGATGTGGGGGTTGATGTGATAATTCGGTAAATATATGTAGAAATGTTTACGACTAGTTTATAACCTATAGATTATAGATATTTAATCTGTGAGACAAGAAAATTTGATGGTAGGGATTTATTTGACAATGCATTCACCGTTTTCTGTGACTAAGTTTCGTTTTCTTTGTTTTTTTGTAAGTTAGTGATATAAAATTGACTTTTACACTCTACATTGTTAATATTTTTGTTTTATTCTCTTAACGAGTGAGCATGAGAAACAGCACTTTTCACTAGGTCTTTGTTCAACTTAAATATTTAAGTATTTGGTTCTAAAATTATTATTCACCATATTTTTCTTCGTATTCTAAGTTTCTATTATGCGATATCATTCATTATTTGTTTGAGACTTAATTCTGTGTTGTTGCAAATTTGTGTGTATACCGTTTGCTTGCTTAGAAGTAATACATTCAATTATAAAAGAATGGTAGTACTCACTTGTACACAAATCACCAAATCGTCTTGTCACTTTTCATTAACATATGTGAGTTCATATTACGCTTGTTTGGCTGCCTGCTTATTGATTTCCCACTGAAAAGCTAGTTCTATCAGTGTGACTTAATACACACACCTGTACCATTTAACTGTCAATGATTTCTTTTACCTAACAAACGTTTTTTTAGGATTATTGCCAATGACTGAACTAGCTTCGAGCTACGCACAATCCAGCAACTATGTACGAAAAACGGGCCACACTTTGAAGAAGAAAAAGCAAGTTCCTCCCCCCAAATATTTGTGTGTTCCCGGTTCATTGGCACTTTTGGATAGGTAAATTTACAACTATGAGGTTTACATTCTACTTATGTAAAGGATTTCAGTTATTGATAAATCTAACTCATTATGCAGTGAAATCAAATGGTAATCAATTTATATTTTTTCATCCGACTTATGTCAATATGTTAGCTTATTTCAAAACAATGATATAGATATCGAAGTTGAAAAACTGCAAGCGCTCCAGAATGATCCCGACCCTAGCGTCGTCCAGTTAGAAAGTGAATCTAAAGCCAAATCTTTGAAAATTGGAAAATCTCGTCGTCTATTAAGGAAAGAACTGAAACACGAATGGTTAAAAGTTTCGGATTGCCGTGTTTTCTGGTAATTGTACTTTTTAGTGTTGTGATTTTTGATACAAAAACGTTTATTGTTGTCCTATAATACTTGTTCAGTATTTGGTGATGACTAAAACTTCAACCGTAGGCGATAACATCGTAAACCGAATTACAGGGTAAGATCTATATATATGGGTGGGAAAAGTAATTCAGTTTGTGTGAATGTAAACTTGTACTAGCTTAGGCGAGGGCTTTAAATGTTATTCATATTAAAACACCTATCTCGGTGTGTCTGGTGCTAGCTAAATTAAAATCAGTTTTGAAGAGTTACTTTAGAACAAGACGGAAACGCGTGAAGTAAATGAAAATAAGAAGGGTATGTGTGAATGGGGTCTTCAAAATGTTAGAAGTCTGCTTTTGGTGAATTAGCGAGAAAGTGATATTACTGGTTAGAATGCCTCCACCGTTTATCTACTGGATGCTTGTCATTTTATTATACGATTTATTCTATACTCGTGTTTATTTTAGCACATTTCCTAATTTCTTTTGATTTCTTCATGTAGTTTTATTATTTTATTATTTAAACAGATACATTGGTACAAGGAGACACTAAATAGATATGCGCCACATAAATCATTCGATTTGCTTGCGGATTGGGATACTTCTCAGTTGTCCGAACCGAGGCACGTGGTTTTCTTAGGGGGCCACTCCTTGAGCCTTTGACTCAAAGGTCTAATCCACAAGGCAGTGGAGCAGTCAGCAACAATGTACAACTTCGCACGTACGTACATCAATTCAAGTTGCCATACCGCATCAGCACAGAGATACAGTGGTCGATTCAAGCCCCATAGTGGTAGAGGTAGTAAGAGCATAAGCAGTAATCGGAAAGATTAGGGTTTGAAGATGTTATTCAATGAGTATAATCCAGTGAAATAAATTTGGAAAGAGAAAAAAGGACATGAAGAATTCAGAAGATTTGGATTTGGGAGACTACAAAGAGTGGATAAACATGCACCATTGCAAACGATTTCGAGCCATATCATTCAAGGTCTCTAACCATCGGTTGCTATAGTCTCGCGGATCCCAACCAGGTAGTCTACACATACCAAAATGGCTCAGTCCACTTGTCAGTGACTTCATGGATTTGTGCCATGTTTTGGTCTGGCCGCCCCTACCTTTCTTCCAACCTACTCCTATACCATTGAACATCGCACGTCGAGGCAGTCGGTCGTTGGGCATACGTAACACATGTCCCAGCCATCTCAACTGATGAAGTTTCACTACTTCATCAATTGATTTGCCATTCTTACCTAGTACCCGTTTCCTAACAACTGTGTTACTTACTCGATGGTCCCATGATATACGAGCAATGTTTCGAAGACACCTAAGGTCGAATACTAGTAACCTACGAATATCCTCTACTCTTACCGGCCATGTTTCACTGCCATAAAGTAGGACGGAACGAACTGCTGCGCAGTAAACACGTCCTTTGGTTGATAGACGGATATCTCGCCTACGCCATAAATGACGCAAGTTGGTAAAAGCTAGTCGAGCCTCCTGTATCCGTGCTGAGATTTCTTCACACACTAGACTACAAGGGCTGATGAGACTCAAGATAAGTGAGGCTCAACTACTTCATTCCCTATCATTAATGTAGGTGCTGATGCAACACAATCCTGAAGCAACATTTCAAGGGAGAGAATCGCATCCCGAACATGCTTGCAATCGCAAAGATGCTCCACCTTCTATTCAGAAAGATTTAGGAGGAGGTACAAGTGCCGATGGACTGGAAAAAAGGATACCGCATCAAGATTTTAAAGAAAGATCTGAGCAAATGTGAAAACTACGGAGGCATCACACTACTGTCAGTATCAGAGAAAGTCTTCAACAGAGTGTTGCCGAACCGGATGAAAGATGCAGTAGACGCCCAACTTCGAAATCAACAGGTTGGATTCCGTAAGGATCGGTCGTGCATAGACCGAATTACGACACTACGGATCATCGTCGTACAATCAATTGAGTGGAACTCGTCACTATACATCAACTTCATTGATTATGAAAAGGCGTTTGACAGTGTAGATTGGAGAACATTACAGAAACTTCTTCGAGACTACAGAGTTCCTGAGAAGATTGCCAATATTATCCGGAAATCATATGATGAACTGCAGTGCAATGTAGTGCATGGAGGACAGCTGACAGATGCATTCCAAGTCAGGACCGGAGTCAGACAAGGCTGTTTACTCTCTCCCCTCCTCTTTCTTCTGGTGGTCGGCTGGATTATGAAGACCTCGATTTCTGAGGAAAAACATGGAATACAACGGACAGCTCAAAATCAATTAGACGACTTGGACTTCGTAGATGACCTAGCCCTCCTATCGCATACACATGAACAAATGCAGATAAAGACAGCCAGCGTAGAAGCAGTCTCTGCATCAGTAGGCCTCAGCATACACAAGGGGAAAACCAAGGTCCTCAAATACAACACAGAGAACAGCAATCCAATCACTCTTGACGGAGAAACTCTGGAAGATGTAGAATCCTTCACATACCTGGGAAGCATCATCGATGAACAAGGAGGTTCAGATGCAGATGTAAAGGCGAGGATTAGCAAAGCGCCGCATTCCTACAATTGAAGAACATGTGGAACTCAAAACAACTTTGAACCAATATCAAAGTGAGAATCTTCAATACGAACATCAAGGCAGTTCTACTGTACGGAGCTGAAACTTGGAGAATTACTACAACCATCACCAAACATGTACAAGTATTTATAAATAGTTGTCTACGCAGGAAACTCAGAATCCATTGGCCGGATACCATCAGGAACAGCCTTTTGTGGGGGAGAACAAACCAGCTTCCAGCTGAAGAGGAAATTAGGAAAAGACGATGGAAATGGGTAGGACATGCATTACGCAAATCGTTAAACTGCATCACGAGGCAAGCCCTAACTTGGAATCCTGAAGGAAGGTGGAAAAGAGGAAGGCCAAAGAACACATTACGTCAGGAAATAGAAGCAGACATAAAAGGGATCAATAACAACTGGGAAGAGCTAGAAAGCATTGCCCAGGACATGGTTAGATGGAGAATGCTAGTGAGCAGCCTATGCTCCTTCACGAGGATTAACAGGCGTAAGTAAGTAAAGTAAGGTCGAAAACCTTCCTGGTTTTCTCTAGTCTGCTCTTCATGAGCTTTAGTTAGGCGTCGAAGTATTATTGAAGCTAACCTTTTAGATACTATAATAGTCAAACTGATTCCTCTGTGATTGTTACAAGAGGACTTTTGTCCTTTCTTATGAACTGTCACAATCAGTGATTGAGACCAGTCAGACGGGATTACGTCAATTTCCCAGGTTCTGCCTAAGACCTCAGTCAATCTCGCTGCTAATACTGGACCACCATCCTTAAAAATCCCAGGGTAAACTTGTCAGGGCCTGCTGCTCTCCTACGCTTCAGATTTCCTATCGCTTTTTCACCTTCGTAAAGAGTTGGAGGACTTAAATTAACTTGCCATTCAAGTCGACTGGGGATCGTGAGAAAACAAAGTGTGACTGAATGCCAGTTAAACCGACCCCTAAAGTGTTTTGCCCATCGATCCAATCTCCTGGATCGAGAACGAACAATGTGTCCATCTTTTTCGGAGATAGTTTCACTAACAGTTGGGTTCCTAATACCGGTTTCCTTGACAAGTCTGAACAGTTGTTGCCTATCGCCGCTGCCTTTTCCATCTCTCTTGCTTTCTGTACCCGCCACTGTTCGCGACCATTGCGTATGCTTTTTATCAGCCTGCGCTTAATCTAACTCCACTCTTCGTCATGTTCAGAGCCTGATGGGATGAATTTCCGAGTATCTATCAGTGCGGTAGATGCTACTGAGATTCAGTGTTTCTCCCTAACCTTATGATTTACCTTACTAGCAGATATCACTGCTGTTTTCACAGTTTTTCGGATATCATTCCAAGCTACCTCGGGGTGGGCATCACATACATGGCTGCCTAACTTTTTCTAGTTCCTGAAATATATTCTTAGCTTGGCAATCATTGAGTAGAACCCTGAGAGGTTTCCTGGCAGCGTCTTCCCTACGTCTAGTAAGACGCAGACAAATACGCGCTCGCAATAGAGCATAGTTTGAATCTAAGCATGTGCTCTAGAACGAGCGACAGTCTTCTATCGAGCTACCTCATCTGTGGCTAATAGCGATGTGATCTATTTGGGCCCAACGTTGGGACGAATTAGGAGGTCGCCTTGTCAAAAGATGTTTCTCCTTATGCTTAAAGTTAGTATTTGCTGGAAATAGGCGGTTATCTGAGCATAGCTGCAACGGACGGTCACCATTATCTGTTCTTTGAGCCACGACTCCATAACATCCACCCAGGTCTTTCCTTTTCGCTTAGTTTACCTACTTGAGCATTAAAGTCACCACCCACCATTACTACATCAGATCTCAGTAGAGCAGCGTAAGGAGATACAGTCCCATGGTAGCCGGTGACCAGCAGTAGGTTCATATGCCATTCGTCCCATCAAGATCCTGGAGCCCATGTGCACCATTCGTTTGGAATAAGGTTTACCAATTCCTAGGTGGGTCCTTCGTATCCACCAACCCGGTTAGAGCGCCGAATATTCTCTTTTTTCCTCTCAATTTTGTAAATAACACCCCCACCGCAAGAAGGCATTGGTTGTATGCACGTGGCCATATGGGAGCACTTCGAGAAAGGGAGAAAGCTGACTCCCCACTCTCGGCCGTACCAGGGAATTTGGGGGCTAGTGTTGCAATTTAAACCACCAAACTCTTGTAGCATGTTTTATATTATTACACTGTGTTTTCATTCAATGTTACGGCTATTATGTCCATAGTTATTGCTTCGAGCATTAAGTTATAAGGACTAAACTAAGTTGTATATTGTTTAACATAAAGTAATACTTCGGTAGCTCAAATTAAAGCCACCTAACCAAAATTTAAAGTGCTGATTGTGTTTTAAGGTTGGTTCTGTGGACCTATATCGGTGAATATTAAACACTCACACATAGTGCTCGTTGCAGGTGACTTTAATGCCCACGTAGATAGCTTAAACCAAACAGAAAAAACATTTAGGTTGACATTTCGGTACTCCGACTCAGTCAACAGATAATGATGACCGTCTGCTGCAACTGTGCCAGATGATCGTTTATTTCCAACAACCTCTAACTTTAAGCACAAAGACTCAAATAGACCATATTGCCATCAGTCATCGTTGGAGAGGCTCAGTAGGAGACTGCTGCTCGTTCTGGAATACATGTTTAGACTATGACCATGCTCTAATAAGATCAAACATTTACTTACACCTTACTGGACGTAGAAAAGTCACGATCAAGAATACTCATTAAAATTGAACTCAACGACGAGAAAGCCAAAGGTAAATTCCAGAAACAAATGAAGTCACACTTAGGCCATTTCGAAAGCGAGGCTGACCTAGATGTCACTTGGGAAGATATACGAACAACAGTGACATCAGTTAGTGATTTGAACCAAAGAGTTACGAGAAACCAGTGGGTTTCTGCGATATCTATTGCATTGATAGACTCGTGAACTTATCCATTCAGGCTCCAAAAGTGATGAGGAGCGGAAATAAATCAAATCTAAGACCGATGCACATATGTGCCTGGTCCTACGTTGTGACTGACTAACCAAAAGTCTACGGAACGATCGTGAGCAGTAGTTGGCAACGAAAGCAAAAGAGATGGAAAAGGTAGCGGCTGTAGGTAACACAAGACAGCTTTTCAGACTAATAAAAGAAACCGGAATTAAGAATTTAAATGTGAGGCAATCCAGGAAAAAAATGGCACTCTTAGCTGCTCTCAGTCTAGACGTTTAGAACGATGGGCGGAGCACTTTAAGGATCAGTGTCTGACGAAATCTCTGCACGGATTCAGAAAGCTCGTTTGACTTTTGCCAACTTACATCACCTATAGCGAAGGTGATATATCTGTTTACCAATCAAGGGAAGAGTATACTGCACAGGAGTTCGTTCTGTTCTACTTTACGACTGCGAAACGTGGCTATTAAGAGTAGAGGATACTCATAAGCTACTAATATTTGACCACAGATGCGTTATAGAAATATTGCTCGCGTCTGCCGGGAACACCGAGTAAGTGGTAGTGAGGTTAGACGCAAGTTATTAGGGAATGATGGTAAATCATTTGATGAGGTTGTGGATTTTCGCCGACTGAGGTGATTGGGCCACGTGTTGCGTATGCCTGAACACCGATTACCACGACGTGCAATGCTAACCGGTGTTGGGAATGGTTGGAAGAAAGTTAGGGGCGGCCAAACCAAAATGTGGCATCAGTTCATAAAGTCACTAACTTCTAGTCTGAACTATGTTGATAGATGCAGACTACTTGGTTGGGGTGCACGTGACTATCGTAACCAATGGTTGGAGACTCTCAGTGACGTGACTCAGAATCGATCACAATGGCGTAAGTGTATACACTTTTTGCCTTCCCTTAAACCCCGAGATAAAAATACCTTTATATCTCTTCCTAGGAACTAATTCTTTTTCCCTGTATCATATGCTTATATGAAATATTTTATTTACTACCATTGAAATAACTGCTTCTATGAATTTGGTGTTCTTCTTGTTGTGTCAAGGAGGTATGGCAACTAGGACCAATGCATATATGTGCCTGATCCTACGTTGTAGATGACTGACTGAATGGATGTTAAGAAAAAAACTAAAATATTTTTTTCGGGTGGGGGGAGAACCATTTTCACCTTCTAACTGATCCAGTATCTGTTTATTTAGTTATACGTTTTTGTATGCCTATAAATTATGAATGCGATTCTCTGACGTCGTCAAAGTGTTTTTCTTTGAATCCCTGTTGATTTTTGAGTACTGGGATAGGTTTCTTTGATTGTTTGTAGTATATATCATTCTGATAATTATGAATGGTTTTAAGATCATTTTTGCTGCACAGTAAACGAGTGTAGGTAACAAAATTTAAATCTAGCAAATTGTTTCCTAGTTGTTATTTTTTTACGGCTACTCGTTGAAGTCTGCATGACACACCGATAGGCATATTACATGTTCATTCTATATATGGTAGCAGAGCACGATATTTTATTAATAGTGAGGAATACCTGACGACGGATATTTGTGTACCCGACAATCGTAACCACAACTTACATTTCAAAATATTTGGTGTCTTCACTGCAACGTGGTTAATGAAAATTTTTCTTAACGTGAAATCATGACGTACTATCTCAATGAATTGAAGACTTATCCTTCAGTCCCTGTAATTCGAACCTAATCTCATAAACTCGAGTTTCGGTAACTGAGTGTCATCCCTGATTTCTACACTATTATGATTTACAACATAGTGTTGGTAAATGTGCTTGAGTACTGAATTTGCTAATAATTTAGTGTTTAGTGCCACAATATTTACTTTTAGTTCGTTGTAAATAATGTGGACTAAACTTAATTTTAAGGTTAGTATCGCGTGCTTCTTCATCATACATGTACTTCGATATGACTTTCATTCTAATAAATTTGGGGATTTCTATTTATGTTTCCAAAGTTTTACAATGATGACACCTACTACTTTTCGTTGCTGTGTAATCTTTTGAATCTCCATTTTATAGTTCATAGTTTTTAACACTGTTCTTTACACCGAAAATAGTATTACTCCAACAAAATTTTATTGCTTCAATCATTAGGTCTCACATATTGCTGGGTTCAAATGAGATTATTCGATGTTTAGAGAGTTCTGTGTGCAATAAAAGTGAAAATAGCCAGGAAACTCAAGGAAGGAGGATATCATGCGTTTTCGTTGATTTTGGTTGGCTGGCATCACATTATGGTCACCATTTGGCGAACTTGTGTACTCTGTTGGATATTAGATTAGTGGCAATCAAACCGACAGGATCACTACCTGAGTTAGTTACAACTAAGTTCAAACCTGTAAAAAAGGTAATTCCTTTTGCCAATCATACCATTTCAATTTCGTTACATTTAATATATTTATTTTTCCCCTTAAAGTTTCGAAAATAGTCTACTACTGCCTATTTAACAGTAATGTTTTAAAAAAACTTTACAATTCTTACTAGATTTCTTCATAAAAATACTTTGATTAGTCTGAGTTGTCGAACATCAGTTTTTTAATACGAGTGTTAGACTCCATATTTTTCCTGAACATAGGTTTAGTAGCAGATTGTTTTACACAATGTTAAGCTGTAATGATCTGCTTCGAGCTTAAAAAATACTGACGTGTATTTTCACCTCGATTATCCTTCTTATCACTCAGCTAAAGCAAACAAAGATCCTGTGACAAGTGTGCGTCGGCCTAAATTGCCAAGCCACATTTGCATGACGAATCGAAAGTAATAAGATGAATACCAAAGGAGTCGAAATAATAGTAGTATCAAGGTTATTGACAAAGGCTAAAGGTTGAAAATATGGCTCGAGAAGAAGGAACGTAAATATATGTATGGAGAGATACTAAAACTCAAAATCTAAAGGAAGATAAAGAATAAATGGATGTGCACTATTGTCAACGATTCGAAGCCGTTTTATTCAATGTCTCAAAATACTAATATGTTATTTTGTGGACCCCGACCAGGTGAACTGCATCCACCACACATAGGTTAGACCAACAGTAACCTACCTCGGGTTGGTTTCACGTCTTGATTTGACCGTTCTTAGATTTATTCCGATTTAGTCTTGCTCCAGTCAATATTGAACTTCGAGGTAGAGGGTGTCTGAGTATACACAACACATGTCTCAATTACTTCAGTCGATGAGGATTCACAACCTCACGAACCGGTTGACCATCTTTGTCTAGTAACCTATTCCCAACCTCAGCATTGTTCACTCGGTCGTTCCACAACATGCGAGTAGTGCTTTGAAGATACTTATGGTCAAAAGCCTGCAGCCCATTCATGTCTTCTACTGTCATAGACCACGTTTCTCAGCTATAAAGTAGTGCAGAGAATATTGGTGAGCTGCATACAGGCCCTTTGGTTTGTAGACAGACATAGTGCCTACTCCACCAGTGACCCTTAGTGAATGTAAGCTAACTGAACTTTCTGAATCTGTGCTGACATCCTATCAGACACCAACCTATCAAACCAAAAAACGCAACTGTCGTTGTCGATCGGTAAGTACTCTTAGTTCTAAAACCAGACAAACAGTAAATTTCAAGTTAACATATTTACGTCCGGGTTTGATCTTCACGAGCCCTAGTTAGGCGGTGGATGATAATAGAAGCTACTATTTAAAATACTATATTAGTCAACGTCTTTCTGTGTTTTGTCGTACAAGTTCAAATTCAGCCTGATATACGTAAGTAAAAGTCTGAATTTTACACTAATATATAGCATTTACAACAATATTGTTGTACTATTTAATTGAGTAAATTCTGTTTTACTAAGCCATAAAACGTGTGCATGCATTACACTCTAAAATACTTTGTAGTAGCTAATTACTTTTTAATTGACTCAGACAGAATCAGGTCAAAAAGGAAAACCTTTACCTTGTAGCTTTAAAAGTCGTTCCACCTACTGAGGTGCTTAGTCAATCCGGTAGCTTCATTAGTCCTCATACGAACAAAGACGTGTCTCAGAACTGAGTAGGTGAATATGTATTTGGTCAACTAACCGCATTACCTCCTGTAAAACATTTTAAGTTAGATAATATACCCAAATCTTTGTTTTACTGGTATTTATGTAAACTCAGAAATGCACATTAAATTAGCCTTAAAATATTACTTATGTTCAACTGTCTGTTAAATAACTTTAGTTGCATAATGTTTATAATCTTGTTTCAAATTTTTGGAGCTGGCAGTTTTGGGGTTTTGCCTATCTAATGAGATTCCATCAGATCTCTCTGACATTTGTAAACAAATCGAGATCAAGTTTCCTACACTTGGTGATAACACTAGTAGCATTGCAGCTCCAATGGACATCAAAAAACGCGAGACTTCATATAAAATGGCTATTAATTGTTCAAAAGCCGTAAGTCATACCCTTACATTTCTAAAGAATTAATTAAGTCTCCCATTTCAATTTTTTTTATCATTATGTATATAATCGCAGAAATACTTAATGTTCATTGTTATATATAACTACTAAGTGTTTGCATTTAATGTGCATTCATGCTACATATTTTTGTTGTACATTTTTCGTGACCTTTTATTCGTAACACGCTGTTTATTCTGTTGTACTCATCTAATCTATAGCTACTATCTAGTCACATTGGTCGAATTTTTCTCTAATGGTGATCCAGTTATGATGGACCCTCTGAAACACTAGTTTTTCTGTGGCATTAAGATTGATCAGAGGGTGTTGAGACTAAAATCTATTGTCATAATGTAAATAATTTAGTTTGCAATGCGGATTCAAATGACAGGCTATATTGGAACGGAAATAAAATGGTGGTAAGGGCTTCCTTCCAAACATCCAGAATACTAAGCTATTCTGTCATTCTACTCGCGAACATTTAACACAAACTTGTGCATTTCCATCTTATCGTACGGCTTTTCTTTCCCGACTGTGGAGCGATTAGTGAAACTCTCAAACTACTGCCATACCTGTAACAACTGTGTAACTGGAATCAGGCAGATATCTTATAGGCTTTGGCTAATTTTTAGATATTTTGGAAAAGTATCAACCTTCAGATTGTGGACAACTGGGATCAATACTTGCCTTAACCTCTCGAAAACAATGAAAATGCTTTTTTATTGATTGAGACTAATAGCCATCCTCCTTTACTCCTCTGTGTTCATTATACTTTATTAACAACACCACAGTTCTTACTCCGATACAGTTACTAAATATTCATAGGCATGTATCTAGACGTATGAATAAGATTAAAGCCTAGAGCTAAGAAAACACTTCTTGACTTAATTTCTGCCAATGCACTGTCTGGATAAATGATTCTGTTAAAATTCAGTAAGCTGAAAAGTTCAGTGATGCTTTTTTTTTCACACAATTACTGATCGCAGTACAGGTAAAGTTAAAAGGTGTTGGCCTTTGGAAAAGAAAACGTAAAGATATATTTACTTTAGCATATAAGCTAAGCTAAGTTAAAACCTGTTTTGGCAGTGTGTTTTGCAGTTAAGTACTGATCAATTGATTAAAGTAGTCTCTATATTGGCTTCAACTACTGCTTGTTTGTGACAAATATTCATTGAAAGTATAGGCGATTGCATTGTTCGACATACTGGTTATCGATATTCTTCTAACAATAAGCTTAGATAAATCACATGATTATTGATCATCACATGACCAGTTGATGTACCACAACACACTGGAAGTGCCTTAAAGATCTCTGCCCTCCTTTAATTTATACTTCCACGGTAGTATGCCAGAAAAGACTGCAAATTTGCGTTAAATTCTCTTTTCTTAATGATTATTTGAATATTTCTTGAAAGCTACAGATTAGATTTTTAGGAGTGACAGTTTAGTCTCTAACATTGAGGTAAAAGTGATTTCATACAATCGTTCATGTGACTGCCTGGATTCAGTTTAAAGTTCTTGGATAGTGAGACCCGACTGTTGACAGCTTCATTTAAGAAAAAAACAGCCATATTACAAAATTTCTTCAAGTTATCGTTTCTAACCGATAAATTGTTCTATAAATGGCTGTCATTATGTTTTAATATATTATGGAGTGCGACTTGTCAAAAATCTTCCCAGGTTTACTTTCATATTCTTGGTCCGTTGAATCTTTCTACGTCTAACACCAGTTTAAGTCAGCTTCTCAGCGATCTTGATAATTCAATCAGCAGTCGTGAATTTTTGTTCATGTCTACCCAAGTTTGATCTGAAGACAATGGAATATTAGTAATAACGTTTGTAAGTCCCATACTGTTGTGAACCCATTTCCAATATTAAATGCATTTGCTCTCTTTATTCATGCTTTCTTATTTCAGTCTTCATTAGTCGAAAAAAAAGAAAGTTGGGAGGATGTTCAAATTAGTTCAAAATTATATGATTATAGTTCACCACCCCATAAATTTACTATCACTGAATTTCAGTCATACCTATCTTCTCTCATTCTTCAATCATTTGAAAGTGAAATTGTTCATGGTATGCTTGATAGTGACAATCAATCTAACTTTGAATACAGTTATGGCTTTTGTGCGTATAAACCACCTGTGTTAAAACGGGTTGTCGCTCGAACAGAACGTAAAACTCGAAAGCGAAAAACGTTTGCATCTGCCAATTTTCAGCCAAAAACTCCAGTAGAAAAAAAGACAAACAATGATACATGCGATAAGGTAAAACAAGAGGAGGTGCTACCTATAGTTTGATAAATCCACTTTATTACTGAATTTTGTAAACCTGTGTAACCGGTGTGTAATAAAATTTCAGTTATTCTCTTTAACTTTGTTTTGTTATCATTTAATTGTATGTGTTGGTTAATATGAATTGTTTGATAAGAAAAGTAGTTGGTCGTGGTAGATTTTAGATTCACTTTTATTTACGTTGGCACTGCAATCTGTCAATGTCATTCTCCGATGTGACCACCCCGATAACTCTCTCATTCGACTTAAGCAAACAGCGTAAAACACAACAATAGGCAGAAAAGATGTATATTCCTAGCGAAAAGTTACATAGTGTTTACATAATACACATGCATAGCTTTCAATTGTCCATTTGCATCCTTCTGTGTGTTCTGCCACCTAAACCGTCTTCTCAACTGGTTTCCATGTGTTCTACCAACGCCGTACTTTTGATGCACAGAAACTCTTCACTTCGTCTGACAATTGTTGCAACTTTGACGCTACGTTCCGCTACACACTAATTACAGACATCTTATGAGTAGCGTCCACTACAATAGAACACTTAAGTGTACATTGCTAAAGATATCGTAGTTAGCACTTGAACAAAAATTTGCATCAAATCAACTAATCTAATTTCTCCACTTAGAAACTTATGCCTAACTGCAATGTGGTTGACTCGATGAATACATGGAATATAACTTTTCCTCATAGATACCGCATTTCATAACTGAGTTCGTTACTGTAAATTCTTTTACATTTCTAAACTTGGCCTTGAAATGCTGACCACTTCAATAGATAATTTATTTCAGCAGGACAATCATTGACAAAAGCTTACTCCATGGCTATGAACATTCTTTTATTACGTTACTAGGTCTCTGAGCTTTCGTTTTTGAAAGCTATGTCTAACACACTGTAAGCCAACAGTGTTTTTTATATCGGAAGACAGGTATCACTAGCTAACTTTCTAGAATTTCATCCCATCAGTGTATCCCACGTCAACAAAACACACAAGATCATTCATTTGATCTCGCCCAGCGAGTAGGGAGCACAAGCACTTAGGGGGATCTCATGGTATCCCGGTTGAACACACGGACAGTGGTGATCGCCTGCTACTTATTATTCCTGCCAAATACAGACTTTAAGCCTAAAGTAAGACATTGTCTAACCTAGTGACTCCAAAAATCAGAACAGCGTTGAGAAAAATTGATCATATCACCAGTCGTTACTGGAGAGGCCCGACAGAATTTTGCCGCTCCTTCCAAGACAAATCCTTGGACTGGGATCATACACGAGTGCAAGAAAGCATTTCAACGCATCTTACTGGACGTAGGAAAATCACAACAAGAAGAGCCCTTAAATATTGTTTGGAAGAAGAAAAATGTCAAGGACAAATCAAGGTAAGAGTTAGCTTATCGCCTAGTTGATCGGGGAAAAATAGTTAGCCTTGAAGAAGCTTGGAATGATATCCAAACACTTGTTAGTACATCAATAACATCTCCCAATAACTTGCATAGAAAATGTAAGCCAGTAGATTTCGTTGCTATTTAATAAAGTGATAGATGTTCAAAAGCTCAACTAAGCAGGTTCAAAAAGCGGTAAAAATAGGCAACAACTCGGACACAAAAGAGAAAAATTTCGACGGGATGATCTTGAGCAATAGTGTGAGAAAAAATCAAAAGAGACTGGTGAGGCAGCGGCGCCAGACAGCACTAAAAAACTATTCCGATTCATCAAGGAAACAGGTATTAAAAAGGGAACCATTTTTAGACTACCTCGCAAAAATACAACCACCATTCCCTCTGTTTAGAAGTTAAGACTGGTGGGTAGGAAATTTTGGGAAACAGTTCATCTGCCTCCCGCTGCCTACTATTACTTATTTTCAAACAACCTAATTTAGAGATGCGATTGGGCCCTCGACTCTGGCTGGGATTTGATAGGTTATATCTAATCTACAGCGAGGAAGAACAGGAGGCTCTTACTGATTAATCCCGACGATCTTCAGCAGTGGAGGTCCAGTTTTAGTAGTAAATTTGACGCAGATATCAGCTGACGTTTGGGAACTAAAGTCACTCAGGTTTAGACAAAATGACTGTCTACAAACCAAAGGGCCTGTATGCAGCTCACCAATATTCTCTGCACTACTTTATAGCTGAGAAACGTGGTCTATGACAGTAGAAGACATGAATGGGCTGCAGGCTTTTGACCATAAGTATCTTCAAAGCACTACTCGCATGTTGTGGAACGACCGAGTGAACAATGCTGAGGTTGGGAATAGGTTACTAGACAAAGATGGTCAACCGGTTCGTGAGGTTGTGAATCCTCATCGACTGAAGTAATTGAGACATGTGTTGTGTATACTCAGACACCCTCTACCTCGAAGTTCAATATTGACTGGAGCAAGACTAAATCGGAATAAATCTAAGAACGGTCAAATCAAGACGTGAAACCAACCCGAGGTAGGTTACTGTTGGTCTAACCTATGTGTGGTGGATGCAGTTCACCTGGTCGGGGTCCACAAAATAACATATTAGTATTTTGAGACATTGAATAAAACGGCTTCGAATCGTTGACAATAGTGCACATCCATTTATTCTTTATCTTCCTTTAGATTTTGAGTTTTAGTATCTCTCCATACATATATTTACGTTCCTTCTTCTCGAGCCATATTTTCAACCTTTAGCCTTTGTCAATAACCTTGATACTACTATTATTTCGACTCCTTTGGTATTCATCTTATTACTTTCGATTCGTCATGCAAATGTGGCTTGGCAATTTAGGCCGACGCATATTTGTCTCTAGTCTTACTTTGTTACTTTCTGTGTTTTAAGACTTTCTATGTAAACTAGTTTTTTATTCTCTTTGAGATTTATTTGGAAACCGTTGTTTTATGTTACTGTATGATATCTTGTTTTGTTTGTAGTTTTAAGCTTCTTAGTATGATGATTATTTTCATAAAGGCTTACTTAATTTTATCGAAACAACTGACTAATTTGAACACCGTTTTTTTTATCGCAGATTTCGCACTTGAAATTTATAAACAGTTTGTAGTTGTTGTTTCCATTGATAATGTGATCTTATTTCATGTTGTCTTAAAGGTGAATGATCAGCGGTGTTTCACACAAATAGTTGTTTAATTTTGTTCTACAATGAGTGATAACAATGAGAAGTATTTGGATGAAATTGCCGTAAAGAATTTCATTCGATACTTACAATTTGTGACAGTTCATCCCAATCCATGCTATCGACCTGCTGTTGAGTGGCTTGTTAAATTGGGTCAAGAATTACAGCTCATGTGCAATGTCGTTGAAATCGTCCCAGATAATCCTATCGTCATCATGCGTTGGGATGGATATCAACCGGAATTATCAGCAATCATGTTAAATTCACATATGGACGTAGTACCAGTAGTCGAAGAAAAATGGTCATATCCTCCATTCAGTGGTACAATTACACCTGATGGTAAAATATACGGTCGAGGTACTCAGGTAATTTAATCTCATGATTATACTGTTCGTTAGAGCAGCATAAATATTCACTTTTTACTCAAATGTAAATAGTTATTATGATAAACTTATTATAGTTGAACTAGTAGATCGATATGATTGTAATTATAAGAAGTATTTTACTGTAATTTTTGTTGTTGCATGTTAGTAACTAGTTTTCTGTGCAGGCTTGGTCTGACCATTCGTGTAATCGTATACATCTTATGGAATTTGAGTTATCTAGTTGGTCGTCTACACGTTAATACAAGTCTTCGCTTTTAACAGAAAAAGCTGCTACTTTAACATTTGTTCGTGAAACAATCGGCGAATTTTCCGTAAATCCCGAGTGACCGCGTGTCAAACTAGTCATCATCAACTTAGGACCTTGCAAAATTGTACACTAACCCCAATTCCCATACCATATCAGCACCTTGCGGGAAAATGCACTAAATCAACAGCAAGGCAGTCGGGGTAGTATTTGGAACCTAAATTCTGTGGGATTATAGATTGACTAATGGCACACTTCAGTCGTATTTAAGCTGAAACTGGTGCGAAAATTTATTGTATTGACGCATAAGATTGTCCAATTTACCTATATATGCATGGCTTATTTTGTCTATTGTGGTGCAATAATTATGGATTTAGAACTGTAAAGTCTGGTGATCGAGTTAGTGGAAACAATTATTTCTTCAGGTATTCATTGTTCTTAAATACTGAATACATTCTGCACTCCTGCGTCCTATCTTGAGCCATGACACCTAAGGCTGCCGGTTATCAGTCACGATTATTGCTCAGACTCTATCCAGGTAGTTTTCACATACACACACAGCCTAAACCAATGGTCATTGACTTAATATACTGGGACCTCAACTTAATTTGTTTGCCTTAGCTTTCTTATTCATTTTGGCTACAATCCCATCTAACAATCTTGTGGAATCTTTTAACTGTGTAAATACGTATTGATATTTTTTCTAGTCTGTAAACTAGATTCTGAAAGGAAACACTAAGAACATCCCTTTTGAAAGTGAACGTTTCATTCAATAAAAATTTTAATAGTTGAGATCATGAGTCAATTGAAGCTAGACCACCATGGAAAACCTGAAAGCACTGAACGGCCGTTTCGTCCCACTGTGGGACTCCTCAACAATGCGCATCCACGATCTCGCCTCGCGGAATTCGAATCCAGGACCTACCAGTTTCGCGCGCGAGCGCTTAACCTCTAGACCACTGAGCCGGCATCCAACGGTGGTAATGTCTAACTCCAACTAGTCCGCGAAATTGAGCGACACATCCACCATCTCGCGAGGTGAGATCGTGGATGCGCACTGCTGAGGATTCCCACAGTAGGACGAAAAGGCCGTCCAGCGCCTCCAGGTTTTCTATGGTAGTCTAGATTCAATTGGCTCATGATCTCAACTACTAAAATTACTATAATATCCACAACAAACCCCCTCTGATAATAAAAATTGTGTTACTATGTTTTTAATCAGATGAGTTCATATTTTACACCTTGAAAACTATTCCTTACCTCGATAGTTTCAAATAAATTGAGGATTGGGCAGAAGGCGAATAATAAATATATTTTTGTGAATTGACTCTCATGTGGCCACAAAATGTCAGATACAATATTCTACTTGTTGAGATACCTCAAAAATATATTTATTATTATTCCGAACCTACTTCAGAACGGGTGTAATTTACCTAGTATTTATGGTAACAATTTTCCATGTTGTGTTGCAAACCACCCCCATTACTTATTGCAAACTCCAACTTACGATTTTCTCACCAAATTCGCGCATCCCAGGTGTCATTAGGGATGTTTTCTCCCTATTATTTTTCCATCTTTTGATAAGTTATTTTTTCCGTACTCTTAAGGACATTGTAATTATATTTATGCGTAATAGTTGTTATCCTACTTTAATCTTTTTTAGTGTTATTAATAAAATTAACACTCAAGACTTAACTGTTTTCTTAACTGGGGATCATGAACTAACATAGCAAAATATCTACATTCATGGCTTAGTAGAGTAAAGCTAGGAGTAGGATACATTAGTATTATGTACAGTTTAGTTTGTTAACATATTTTTAAAAATTCAGTTGTACATATCACATTGCAAAATAAATTCTTCTAAAATAAGTTTTTAAAACTGCTATGAACTATCCATATATCACCCATTTGACGCTCTTTCTGAAAAATTTCGGATTCTATGTATCTTTTTGTTATTTTAATATTGGTGTAGGGTGTGTGTGTGGAGATTTTTGAACTTTCTTCTGTACGTCACGAACTGACCTTAGTTATCTAACTATTAAAGACTGAGGAGCACTGGAAAACTGTTTCATCTTAGTATGATACTTCCCATCTTACTAGTAACTGATTTACAAAAACAGTTTTCCTATATACGTTGTAAGGACGTAACCAGAGGAGTCCAACCAGGCCAAGAGTGAGGAAGTTGTCCACCAATCGGATTGGAAAATGACCGAGTAATATCACGAATTGATTAAAATCAGTAATGTAAACCATCGGATCCCAACTCAGTTTTCTAAACTTCAATGACTCACTGTGAGACCTGGAAGTTTTCAGCCCGATTTCCGATAGTGTCGTCAGTGTTCACTGGAAGTCCTATACTGGAGTGGAATCGATGTTTTCGATAGTTGTCTAACCAACGTCAGTTTGTAATGTAGACTGAAAAGTTAGTTTATTACTTGTGAAATTTTGAAATACATCATTGAATACTCTGTCCTGAGATGTTATTTAACCTGTTATGCCATTCATATTCTTTTGTTGAAGGATATGAAATCAATTGGTATCCAACAGTTGGAGGCTATTCGAAGATTAAAATCACGTGGATGCAACCAGTTGCGTCGTACAGTTTACTTGACTTTTGTACCTGACGAGGAGTTAGGTGGTGTGAAAGGAATGAAACCATTTGTATTGAATCATAATGAATGTAATAATCATCATTCCGAAGAAATTAGATTTCAAGATATGAATATTGGGCTTTGTTTAGATGAAGGTATACCAAGTTGTTCAGAGGATTATTTAGCATTTTACGACGAACGTCGTCCAGTTTGGATAAATGTACATTTTCATGGTAATGCTGGTCATGGTCTGGCTTTAATTGAAAATACAGCCGCTGAAAAATTCCGGATATTTTTAAATAGGTAAGACATCTTAAAATATCTTCCATGTTTTTATTTGGGTTTGTGTTGATTCCATATCGTATTTTCAAGGTATTATATATATATATATATATATATATATATATATATATATTGAATAAGATGTCTTTTATTTTTCTGTCGATGGGACTGATAGTAGAATGCAAGATATACTTTTTGTCCAACTTCACACTCACCAACTAAATGTACTTGCATTTTTTATTGTCAACGTACCCACTGTATATCAACTCCACTACCAATCGCTGTCACCTTCAGAAAGTTTTTCATGATGTTGTTTAATGGGTGTTGGAGGTCTGTAGATCCTTTGAAAGCGACCACGATCATTTATATAGCTTTTGTTTGCTACTGTTAATCCTAAATATGATAACTGTTTAACTCGAAATGTAAGTTTGAATGAGTTAATGTCTACATTTTTCTCTTGCTGCAATAGAAACTCCTCATATTTAACTATTATTTGTTTATTTCAACACATAAATATTGGCACAAGGAGGCACCAAATACATATGCGCCACATATAACAATGAGAAGAGGAAAAAAGAAGGTAAGGAGCGTAAAAGAAGTAAAGAACAATAATGACCAGATTAGTGTAAGGTAGTGTAATAATAATGATAATAATAATGGGGGAAACGGAAAGGTACAACCAGAAGAAATCTTTCAGTTAAGGAAGATACAACCATCTTCTATGAAGAAAGTAAAATAAGGCTACAGCAGGATTGCCACTGGCTTCTATTCTGAGCCATATTTGAAAACGTATCTAGCCACTTTGTTGCACCGTCTCTCGGATCCCAGCCAGGGAGTCGTGAAGGACCAACAGAAGCCAACCCTTTGCAGCTTTCTTTCATGCCACGACACCATGTCATACACTGACAACCTATCGGCTTTTTCCAACCTGTTCCACTGTCGGCAAATGATGCACGACGTGGAATTCTGTGGGACGACATTCGTAGGACATGTCCAAGTCACCAAAGTCGATGTTTCAAGATGGTGACACCAATTGGATTATCGTCTCTGCGCTCGAACACACGATGCCGAACCTCTGCATTACTAACATGGTGTTGCCACTGAATGTCAGCAATCCTTCGGAGACAACGATGATCAAATACAGAGAGTCGTCTGACATCCTCAACTCGTTAACGTACCAGTAATCTTCGATTTTTATTAGGACAAACTTCATAACTTAGAATTTACAGTAACCAATTTCCTGTTATTTACTGATAGTAAATAAAACGCTTCGTGGATTCGCAACATTTTACCAGTCAAATAATAATCGATCGGAGTGAAGGGTTTGTAGTCGTAAGAATCTCTACTATTCTCCTAGTGAAACCAGCAGCACAGACGAAATTATACTGTAATGAATTTTGTCTAGTGTGGTGTATATCTCCAAGTAAACAAATTGTTCAAACGAAATTCGTACATAGTTTTTTTTTTCCATTTTCAGTATTTACAGTTTCCGCAAAGAAGAACAATTAAGGTTAGAAAACTCTCTAGGAAAGCTAACATTGGGGGATATAACAACAGTTAATATGACAATGATAAATGGAGGTGTGCAACATAATGTTGTGCCTGAACAGCTGTCAGCATCATTTGACATTAGATTAACTCCGTCATTGTCACTGGATGACTTCAAAAGGAAATTAGATCAGTGGGCATTAATTGCTGGTGGACAGATTGAAGTTAGTTTGCAAAAATTGACATTTTTTGTATCTTTTATATTTCCTAAGTAATCAAGTTTAGGAGAATAAAAGAATCGCCTAAAAATTGGTTGAAATCGCTTTTCTTAATGCTGCTGTGTACAAACCTCTACACCATATAAAACTCCATTATAATTGTGGAAAAATTTAGTAGTAGTATTGCCGTTTCGTTTTGATGTGCTCTCGGTGAAAGCATACTAGAGGAACAAGCGTAAAACAACTGCGACAAATTTCAGCTAGTTCTTAACCAATTGTAAAATATTTACCAAAATGGAATAGTTCTGAGGAGGAAATTTATATAGAAATTTAACAGTACTTAATGAGTCTCCTGATTTTTTTCTTATAAATCAATAGTACAACAACCTAATAATTGGTCCATATAGAAGTAGATAATCTGTCTTCCTGAGCCCTTTTAACCACATAACTAGATTCTCAGGAGTCCTCACACTGTTTCCAATTAGGGAATTACGGCCGATTTGTGTTATATTCTATCTACGCAGAGAGAATAATGCAATCGGTACATTCAACTGTCATCACTATTGTATGGTGAATGAAGTAATTCTTCGTTATCATTTTAAATGATATTACCATCATACAAAGGTAATTCCACTACTCAGTTTACGTAATTTATTTAAGTTAAACTCTATTCATACTTGAATTTCGCGCAAGAACTCAAATATCGTTTTCTCGATTCTGATTGGCTCATCCGTACGCTATTTCCTTTACTGTTCTTTTTTCCTGTGATATTAACTGAAAATGTAGTGGTTTCATCAGAAAAATACCTTTTTGAACCATTAAATTTGTGCGTACGTCTCACTTTTGGAACAGTTCTATGTTATGGTTATTAAAATCGGAACAATGAATTTGAGATATATTACATTTTCGAGAATGCTAGTGGATAAAGGACCGCATGTGATTGAGTAATATGATATTCTATGATAACATTTAACCTTTGCCCGTATATTGTGTACGTATAATGGATATTCCCTGTCTAATATTCGCTTCTTTTTGTAATTTAGTTCGAATTCATCAATACTGGAGTTGATCTGAAACAATCAGTTATTACCCCAGATGAATCCACTAATCCTTGGTGGGCTACTTTAATTAGTGTCTGCTCAAAACACGGTAGTAAAGTTCAAAAGAGAATATTTCCTGGTGGTACAGATGCCAGATTTGTTCGAGAATATCATTTACTTCCACATGCTACTAATAACAAACCAATACAAGCAATTGGATTTTCGCCGATCAAAAATACCCCCGTTTTATTGCATGATCATGATGAATGGTTAGATAAAACAGAATTTTTGCGTGGATGTCGATTGTACTCTGATCTTGTTCAAGCTCTCGCCGAATTACCCTGACCCAGTGGTTTCTATTCAGTCGTATTGCTTTTGTTTTCATTGGTCTTTGTTAATTAGTGACTGAATTTCGTACAGTTACTACTTATAGTTTTAAGTTTAGTGTCAATGTTTTACGTAATTGTATCCGGTGATTTAAATAAATATATGGGTTATTTCAGTTAATAGAATTATTTTTTTCATGATGATACGTTATGAATAAGACAGTTGTTACTGACTGTAGTCGGAATTCATATTTCGTTGAAAAAAATGAAGCCGAATATCCTTCATTATCTAGACCTTTCCGGAATGAGAATCGTCAATACATTTGTGTCTTTTTGTTGTTGTGCTCATCGTTATGCTACAACATACTTTTAAAGCAGTGCGCGAAATATATTTTACGTTTAAGTTGTTTTTTGATCTAAGGTTTTAGTTGCTAATCAGGAAGACTATAGGATTTCCTATTGTTTTACAGGTTTGGGTGTATTGCATTAACAGCGCACATAACCACTGTCTATTCTTATCACATGGAATATGGTTGAACGATACTAGATCGGTCATTAGAAATAGTAATTCCAGGTGTCATTTCTACAGACAATTGGTCCCATTGAACTGCCTTCTTCGTACGGCTTTAATTTAAACAAAATAGCATATCAGGAAACTACTCAGTTTTTACACTTGGCAGTAATGTTGTTTCAGTTACAGAAATTTAATTGCGGATTTTCGGTGCTTGGTTTGCAGATTTAGTTTTAGAAGTCAGGAAGCATACTCATTACTGTCGATACAATGAGCTAATAGATTTTAGGAAAACACCTCAGATATCTGTATAACCGTTCACCAGTTTTGTTAGGTAAGGGACGATTAATATTCCAAAGGTAATAGTGATGTATGGTTTGATGGATTTGAAGTATCTTTGGCTGTATGTAAGGGGACTGGGTCGATGCAACAGTGTTCTGTGGATGTTTGGAACTTGAACCCCATCAGGTAACTTGTTTATAACAGCATAGCTTAAATATATAAGTCTATATTTTCGTAAAAAGTCTCCAAATGTCAGACGAAGTTCCGTAAACACCTTGACCAACCGACACAACTTGAACTAAGATAAGTTTCGGGGATCGCTGTTAGCATTTTTCTTATCCAGGCTAAGCGTTTGTGAATTTGAGGGTATCTTCTCTGTTCCCGAGAGTCTCATTGTCATCTACTTGCGTTTTTGAAAAACTTGATGACAGGAAATACGGAGTAGAGCTCGTCAACTAATGACCAATCGACATTCTGGTAAAAAACAATCTGTCTTCTAACATTCTACTTATTCATTAGTATCAGACCTTCGTTCGTGCGAATCAAAGAGATTCTGTAGTAACACAAAAACAAATAGCATGAATGATAACCATCTCACTTTGAATCAAAAGATCAACGGAACATACAGATGAAGAGATCAAGAAGAATAGCTCCACATTTAGAACCAAGGCAACAAATTACATTAAAAAACGTGTATGTAGAGGAATTTCCATGCACATCCAAGAGAAATTTCAGATAGAATCTTACATTTATGCTAAGGGCCTTAATTAAGCTACTTACACCTGTTACCCAAAATGGAGGAGCATAAGCTACTCACCAGCGTTCTCCATCGAACTATATACTGAACAATCCTTCACAGTTGTTTCCAATCACTACACACTTTTCGATATGTGCTTTCAATTCTTGATACAATGTGTTCCTTAGTCTTCCTCTCTTTCGTTTCCCTTCAGAGTTCCAAGTAAGCGCCTGCCTCGTGATGCAGTTTGATAATTTTCGAGATACATATCCTACCCACATCCAACATCTTTCCTCAACTCCCTATTCAGCTGGAAGCCAATTTGTTCTCTCTCTCCCACAGTAGGCTGTTAATGGTATCCGGTCAGTGGACCTGGATTATCTTGCGTAGACAATTGTTTATAAATACCTGTACCTTTTTGGTGATGGTTTTGGTAGTTCTTTAAGTTTCGGCTCCACACGGTAGAACTTTCTTGATGTTTCTATTGAAGATTCTGACTTTGATGTTGGTTGACAGTTGTTTTCAACTGAAAGGATGTGATCCTTGCTTTGTCGATCCGTGCTGTTACTTCTGCATCGGATCCTCCTTGTTCATCAATGATGTTTATCAGACACGTGAAAGTTTACACCTATTCCAGAGCTCCGTCAAGTGTGAATGGGTTGGTATTCTCTGTATTGTATTCGAGGATCTTGCTTTTTCCCTTGTATATGTTGAAGCCTACTAATTCATAGACTGCTGCTACACTAGTGTTCGTCACCTACATTTGTTGATGTGTATGTAATAGAATGGCTAGGTTATCTGCGAAGTCCCAATCATCTAGTTGTATCCAACCTGTGGATTGCATCCCGTGCTTCTTCTGAGATGTGGAGGTCCTCACGATCCAGTTGACCACTGTGAGGAAAAGAAATCGAGAGAGTAAGCAGCCTTTTCCAATTCCTATCTTCACTTGCGATGCATCTGTCAGCTGTCCTCCATGCACCACTATGCAGTGTAGTCTATCGTATGAGTTTCCGAGGATGTTGACGATCTTCTCAGGTACACCATAGTGAGAAGAGGGTTCCATAAGGTTCTCCTGTTCACGCCGTAAAACGTCTTTTCATAGTCGAGGAAGTTGATGTATAATGGCGAGTTCCATTCAACCGATTGCACAACGATGATCTGTAGTGTCACGATTTGGTCTATGCACAACCGACCCTTACAGATTCCGGTCTGTTGATCTGGAAGTTGGACGTTCATTCAGTTCGGCAACATTCTGCTGAAAACTACTCCTGGTACCGATAATTGTGTGATTCCTCTGTAGTCCTCACATTTGCTTAGATCTCCTTCTTTTGTTTTCTTGATGAGGTACCTTGAGTCCTCCGAGTTTGTTGGTATCTGGAAGGATGACTGTATTAAACTTTCACAATTCTGTTTCTCCAGTTGTCCAGTGTTTCTTCGATTTCAGTTTCATCGTTGCCACAGCTAGGTGGTGATCTGAAGCTATGTCAGCTCTTTTCTTGGTTCTCACGTTTTCCATGGATCCTCTGAATTTTTTATTGATGCAAACATGGTCGGTCCTGTTCTCTGTAGTTTGGTCCGGTGAAACCCATATAGCTTTGTGTATGCGTTTGTGGTGGGAAATTATGTCACCTGTGGCCATGTTGTTGAAAACACACTAATCTATAAGTCCCTCACCATTCTTGTTCCCTCCTCTGATTCCATGTCGTCCCATGACAACTGCAACCCCACTTGGTGAACGCATAACACTGGATAACATTCATTGTGATCCTTTCCCTCTTTGTTTTGTAGAATGTTTTGACGGTTCTACATCCATGAGACTCCCATCCTAAAAGTGCTTTTCATGCTTCTTCAGACAGCATTATAGCAAATCGCTCACTGTGAGTAGCACCTTCCTCATCGTGCCCAGGGTACAGCAGCATCTCTACCGTATCTAGCCTATCCTGATCAGCTTGGATCCAATGGGTTTCAGTTATTCTGTAAACCGCCAAGTTGTATCTTCTAATTTCTGTGGCTATTCGATTAGTCCACCCGGTTCCCTACATTATCCAGAATTTCCATGCGTCTATATTAATTTTTGGTCTGGTTGTTAGAAGTGACGTCGGCCTTGTTACTTTTGAAGGATCTCGGTTTTCATCATGAGACGTCATAATTATTCTAAATGAAGATGCTTCAACTTTCAGAGTGAGTTAAGATGGTTTAAACTTTTTTGGTTTGTGCTTTTTTATCAGTGTTCTTTTCTGGAGGATGAGGTTGCTGGCGTCATGACTAACCCTCTCCCTTTTCCCGGGTTTAGGACCGTGTGTAGCTGTCGAAGAGCTATGAACAGGATCGAATGAATAACACCTGGACATTTCTGTACCTAGTGCAATCGATCTTCGACCCTGCTTTTAGTTTTTAACGTGTCTTCTCAACTTGTTTTCGTGATATGTTTTCCTAAATTACTGTCGTCTTACCATTATAACGCACTTGTGTTGTTACTCTTAATTAACCGTCATGCAGGATAGAGTTTATTAACTTTTTGGGAGCATTTCCATTTTGTTATAATAATCCAAATTCACGTCTGGTGTCGCAATTCAAATGGATTAAGGTAGTTTAAGGGAATCACCCATCACTCCTTCACTGTGGGAGGTGGAAGACCATTTTGAATGTATTGATCTTTAGTGTTTGTCCAACAACCTCAAGGAAGACATCATTTCAATTCGTTAAGTCCGTCGTTTGGGAAGCCCATAGTTTGTTAAAGACGCTTGCATATCTTGACAAATCTATTCTGCGTTCACTTAACAAACTAAAAATATCTCTAACAGGTCATTGTCATGTAACAGTATTTGAAATACGTGTAAGAGCTTTATTCATTACTACATAAACCTCAGACGTCTAACGAGAACAGTTCTGATTCATTCAGATAGGTAAATGTTATGACTGTGAAAAATAATGCTGCGGATTAAGGGGGAGCGAATTGTTGATCGGACCAAAGACGCACAAACACGTAGGACGACCTAGGGTTCTGATTGGTCCTGCTTCCCTGTATAACCCAGCCAGTTGAGTCCAGAAGACAAGTCACAACCTCTGAGATATGAATCACTATATTTCAAACATACTTTGTTTATATACCAGTCAAGCATACCACAGCGTACCATAAAAATAGAAAACAACATTTTGTACAAGTGAACAGATATCGACCAATAGGAAATCCCATTTAAAGTCCAAGGACACCATTGGACTTAACATGATAATTATTGGTCTATTCCTGCGCATCCACAACACCTCCCCTTTTTTTTGAAGATCCGGAGTTGATATCCGGATTTTGAAATTTTCTGGGTTCATCCTCCCCCACGAAATAACGTTGGGTCCTCATATACCCAAGCAACAGTTAGTCTGATTCGAATTAAAGCATATTTCGCGCATTGAGTAGAGGGTTCACTAAGACTGACTAGATGATGAGGATTAGCGACACCAGACATGAGGTCATTAAGGTTTGATTCTTGTGCAA